AAAAAGAAAAATGTAAAAAGAAAAATGAGAGAAAAAATATGTACACCATGATCCTGCGTTTTTTACATCACTCCCCAAATTATTCCATAGTTAATTCATTTTTCACAATTTAACTATTGCACACTTTTATTTCTTCTGCTTATTTTCAGCAGTCACTCAGCACTTAACATTTTATCAGAAAATACTTTTGTTTTTAGTTTTTCTATCTTTTGAACTGCAGAGCTTTTAAATGCTTTATGGCTTCATTCTTTACACATTTGTTTACTCTGCATTTTCATTGTTTAATTTGCAGTTATTCATTCTTTGTCAAACCTTTTAAATTCTCAAGCTTTAAGCCTGTCCTCTAAAGAGAAGTTGCTGAAACCATTGAAACTTCATGCTGACAGACTTTAGAGTCCAACAACAAGGACACACTTCCACATTTGGATAAAGATCTGCATTTTTACCTGAATTGCTCAACCTTTCCTAACCACAGCCGTACTTCTCACTTGTATAGTTCTTATTTAATTCATAGATAATAAATAAAGCTCATAAAGAGGTCTTGTCTTAACACACTAACATTTTTAATCTCCTTGATATRAGTAGCCTGTCTGTATATCTTTGCATTTATGAAAGCAGAGTATCAAATGTGCTTGTTGTAAAACAGGAGCAGATGTGAGCCATCAGCTGCATCATCAGAACCTTGCAGCACCAAAGAACATGAGCTCTTTAGAGTAGCTGTTTGTAAAACCTCAGATTAAAGGCTTGTTTTAAAAGGTGCATGGAGATTCATTCTCTAATCTCCATGCAGTTTAGAAACAACTTCATATGAACTCAATCTACAGGGGCTAATTTGTGTTATGGTATCTTAATGAAGGCACACATCACAGATTCAGAAAAAATGAACACAGGGAGGAAATATGTTTAGTTTTTACTGAGCTGATCATACACTCAAGTTTGTACTTTCAGTTTTAAATGATCCTTTTTTTTCTTTTCAGCACAAAACAATAAAGAATGTTTCTGAATTATTGTAGCTTTTTACCTCAATGTCTGGAAGATCTCTGCTCAGCATGTTTCTGTCCAGCTGTCAGAAGATCCTGGCTGGTGTTGTGGATCAGACGTCCGAAGCACTGTCCGGGACGACACTGAAAACTCCTCCAGAACTTTCTTTTCACCCAGCCACTCCTCACCCAGCAGGGGGGACGTCTCAGAAATACCAACCTGTAGATAAGGTGAGCTGACAGGTGGAGCTGTTATCAGTCACTGTGGGGGTCAAAGGTCAGCACAGCAGGACGGTAAGCAGGATTTGGGGGGCATTGCACTTGAGTTCTGCGAAACCAGGTTCAGTCTGTGAAGGGGGAGTGGAGCCCTGAGTGCTGCTTATCTTTTGTCACATCCTGTACAGAAATCTATGTTAACCCCTTCCTTCCTGAACTTGAACTGAATCAAGATACTTAACCAGAAGTAATTTATGTACTTTTCCCTGCAAACCTTGTTCTGTTTATTATAACTACACTTAGCCAATATGTAACTCAGCATTTATTTTATTGTTTCCATGTGTTTTCTTTATAGGTTTGAGTCAATATTCACTAAAAGTGTCTCTGAATGGGACTGAATGTGAACATTAAGATGATTGTGGATGTTTAATAAAATATACACGTTTCTCCTCATGATTAATTGTAGTTTAATCTCTGCCAAGGTCATGTTGTTACAGTCCATTTGTCTAAAAGCCTTAAATGAAAGCATTATTCAAAATAGTTTTAATTTAAATGTTTACAAAAGCCAGCACATCTCAACTCAGTTCAGATCTGATTGAAGGATTTAAGTGTTTAATTTACCCAAGACTGAAGCTTACAGCTTTCCACAGCTTTTTGTTTGTTTCTTCATAACATCACTGCTTATTTTTCATAAAGAAAACGAAAAAAAAAAACAGATACTTTGAGAAAATGTTCAAAAGAAAAGGTTTAATTTTTCTTCTTTGTGTACATCTCATCCGTCACTGAGGTACAGCATGGAGGCAGCCGTGGCCAACAGGGCAACAGCTGAAGCCACAGCAACACCTAAATGAAAAGAATAAAGGCTTTTTTTAAATGTTTGTCAGCATCTAATAAAAAACGTACCGTTTGTTTCTGGCTTGATGGATTTTCTTGGTTTTTATTGCACAAAAAATGGCACAAGATAAATTCAACAAGCCTACTGACAAAAAATAACAAACCTCACCACTCTTAAAGAATAAAAAAAATTGTTGAATAATGTTTTTACCTTTATTTTCTAGAATTAAGTCTGAGAGATTTAATGTTCTCAGGTAATCAGGTGATCAATAGTTCCAGTTCTTTACAGAGGACTGATCAGACATGTCTTCATCCAACATGTCTGATGAGTTTCAATCAGGGATCGTTTTCTTTCTCACACCTCTGGAGTTTACTGAGGTTTATAAAGTTAGTAAAGGTTGCAGTAAGAACTGACTTAGCATCATCCTGTTACTTTAAGGTCACTGTTTTGCCGCAAATACATTAAAAAAGCAACCTTCCTGGTAAATGTATAAAACCATATCAGTAAAATATACATAAACTGAAACAAGTGGGGTCTTCTAATATAAGTTTTTTTTCAAGCTAAATTACTGTATATATTTTCTTATTGTCATTATTTAACTGCTGTTTTTCTCAACTTTATGCAAAGAATTTTACCAATGAAGTTGTTTTTCTTGGGCTCTGGTGTGTCAACGGTTTCCACAGTCTGTTCTGTAAAAACAAACAAAATACATAAAGAGCAACTTAAAGTTGCTTTGCCAAGTTTTGAGATGAGAGCAATTTGTTAGAATAGGTGCCATAATACAGAATCAGAAAGAAAAAAACTTTAAGAGTGAAGTTTTAAATCAGACTACATATAGTGCAAAGTACTGATCTATTACTTGTTTTTGACATTATCTTTCTAATTTATTTCTCTTCTTCATCAGTGATTAACTGTTTCACATGACAGTCGAATGATCAAATAATCAGTAAGACAGAGATACTAGTGAGAGTGAAGAAAGAACTAGACTGTCACACAGCTTCATTTATCAGTCATTTTCATACAAAAAGTAGCAAAAATTAAAATTACAGCACAGCTGTTTTAACTGATTATCCTTTTGAACATCTTAATGCTAAAATCTGGATTGTTGCAGTACACAAAGCTAAATTCAGTAGGTAACTACAGATGTCTAGTTCTAATGAACCTCTTTTATTCGACAAAAAAAAACTGTAAATCAGAACAAAGTTAATGATGTTTTATTGTTGGGATGTTTTTGAATATTGAATGAAGTATTCAAAAATTTAAAAAAGTAAAATCACTGATCAATATTTAATAATTTATTTTTTTTATTTTTATTGACAGTTAAACCTACACTTGTGGGTAAGTATAAATAGATAAAGTACTGTATTTTTGTTTGCATACTGCCTTGTGAAGTAATACCATTACAAAACCATGTAATGTTAAAGGACCTACATGTAATCATATAAACTGTATTCTGATCAAATAAAGACAAAAAATAGTAATTATCAGCTCCAACTATGTTTCAGACCACAAAACTACAAAAAAAAATATCACTTTAAAACAACCAATCTTCTCCCACCTGCTGTAGCGTCACTCTGCAGGACTTCAGCAGTTATTTCCTGTGTGGTGTCTAAATCCTCCTCAGCTGCATCCACCTCCAGCATCTCTTTGAGCCGGTCAGTCAGCTCAGACAGACCCTCGTCACTAAACTGGTAATCACACACACACAGCGAACCTTTCACCGGACAAAACACACGGCGAGGGAGGAAGAACTGGTCTGAAATACAAAGAGAGAAGTAGGCTTATCAACAGGTTACTCTTGTTACTCTTGTTTTGCGTGAAAAGTATTTATAAAAGGTTGAGCCTAATGTTTTTAACCAACCAAGATTTTAAAATGAGCTTGTGGAGCTGCAGTAAGATGGAATTCAGACCAAAGCATTGCAGTCCCACTTTATATAGACCCCAACTGAATGATTGAAATATGAAAGAGAAGAATTTAAAAGCTTGTTTCTCCTTTATACATTTAAATGGTTAGTCTGAAAGTGTAAGTAAACAGTGATATCCTTGTCAAAGATTTGTTAAAAATAACCCAACATCATTCAGTTCAACTCTTGCCAGATCAAATACGAGCAGAACAGGAAAACATCAAACATTTCAGTTGCAGCGTTTTTCTTAAAACTATAACTCCAACTGATTTCTAGTTGTAATGATGTCATGACTGGAGGGTTTTAGTTTCATCAACACACCACTTTATGTCTTTTATTAAATAATTTATAAATTAATTTTTCCTTGTTAAAGGTCATTTTTCTAAAGCAAATTCTGCAGGATCAATTGTTTAACTTTATTAATTTCATAAAAAACATGTACAATAAAAATAAAAGAAAATACAAATACAATGAAATGAAAGGAAGCAAAGAGAAGAAAAAAATCTTATATCTGCCCCTTTTTTCCTCAAGTATAAATTCAAACAATACTAATCTTTAGTTACCAAAACAAAATAAGAACATTAAATCTTTCTAGAACAACAAATTATATGGTTACACATTATACTGTTTCATATTTTTTCAACAATCCAACATTTATCATTCTCTTAAACATGTACAGTGATTTGGCACTTTTCACATCATTTTCCAGATTATTCTACAATCTCACTCCTTGGATTGAGGTGCAGCATTCTTTCAAACTGGTTCTAAAGTTTGGTTTCACGAACAACTCTGTCCCCTTAAGATTATAACAGCTGTCTCTTTTTGCAAAGTTTTTCTGATGTCTAAAGGTAATGTTGTTGCTGAACCATAAATCATAACTCGACTGGATGAGCAGACTCTGCTCGTGTTGTTACCCGTCTGTCGTTTGTCTCTGCTGCTCTCGTCATCTGGCGCCAGTAGCTCCTCCAGCAACATCCGAACCCTCGTGGCCACCGTGGAAACGACGTCCCTCTTCAGCAGCTGGCCGTGACAGATGTTTAAATGACAGAACGCTGTGATCAAATGTTCGTGAGGGATCAAAACACTACCTTCTCTGCCAGTCTGGCCTTTGGTTTGTTGCTGTGGAAGAAAGCTCTGCTGTGGATGGCTCCTCTGACCGACACACTGCCTCCACAGCGCTGGACCACATCTGCTGACCTCTGCACAGCCTGACACACAGGAAGTTCAGCTCTTCTTACACCACCACAGTGTCAAACAAATGGATTCAAAGGTTTTATTGGTGCAATATGTTTCTTTTATTCTAATCAAATTCTTAAAACACAACCATGTGTTTTTCTGTGATGGGTTTATCTCTTACCGGTGTGATGAGCAACTGAGCTGTGTACGTCTGTTTGGAGTTCTTTTTCTACACAGAAACAGTTTGTTGGAATTATACTTTTTTATTTTACATATTATTAGTGTTTTAAGTAGTTGACACAATTAAGGAGACAGTTTTATGTCCTCTTTAAGCCCTGAAAAATATACCTAATATTAATTAATACTAATTTTTAACCTAAAACAGGTCTTCTCTCAATCTAAAAACCTTTTGAATTATAACACTGGATTATGTATCTCTCTGTAAAACTAGGTTGATACGATTATTAAAACATAAAATTTAAATAAATACAGGAGGTGATTAATCTTCCACATTGATGGGAAGACGTTTTATAAAATACAACCTGTCCTCCTTTGAGCTCAAAGTCCTCTGGAAGCTTTTTTCCATCAATCAGACAAACGCCGCTCTCAATCTGGTGTGCCCATGATTCCAGTCCCTCCTGAAACAAAATGTAACCTGAAATCAGTTCCAACCAACTTTCTAAAAACAACAACAACATAACTTATGAAACTATACACCAGTGTCTGTGTGTGCTAACCTCGAGACAATTATCAATGTTTTTTGTTCTGGTTATGTTGTCTGGCAGAGGGACCAACATGTCTACATGCAGCCAACATGACACCATGGCCCAGGAGGAACACACACCTGACTGGTACCTCCAGTCTGCGGGCTTAGCCATACTCTGAAACACACACACACACACACACACGCACGCACGCAC